GGGGGGCGGGGTGTTGCGTAGCGGGACGGGGCATAGCCGGTGGAGAAGAAGAATTAAAAAGCTGCTTAAGTTTTGGCCCTGAAGGAATAAACTAATGCTGATGTTGACATTTGGGATACAGGATGGAGAGTGAATAACATAATGGTTAGTAGTGGGTAATCATTTTGGCTTTTACATAAGGATAGAGCTCTAGAGGAAACCAGACAACAGTTTAAAGGACAAGGTCAGAGAGTAGAAACAATCATCCAGAGGATGGGGAGAAATTAGAAGAACCAATTACCTTCTGTAATTACTAGGTTTGGGATGACAGCTGGGTGAAGTGTCTTAGTGAAATAACAGAATTAGAAGCTCAGTGAGTTGATGATTGAAAGTGGAGATATCCGCAAGTGCAGGCATCTGTTCAGAAGGTTGATAGGTTACAGGGCAAGGGAAAACTAAAGCTGCTTGAAGGACAATTAGGTTCGAAGGAAAATTTCTTTGAATTCAAGAAACTTAAGCTGAGAGAAAGACTATTAAATATGGAGCTCTAGCTGCTGACAAAAATATTATCATGAGCTCAAGTAAAGGGATTAATCTTGGAAAAGTAATAGAAACAATATTATTTAGGAAGGATAAAGAAGAAAAACACAAGTGAAAAAGGAAAATATATATTTGGAGATAGAGGGAAAATGTTTAGAAATTTCATGGCTAATGATCTCTACTTTTTCATTCAAATGGAAAGTATAGCCATTAATAACTAAAGGAAAGAGGAATGGGGCAGCTTGAGAACAGGAAGAAAGGCTTAGAAGAGGCACTCCAACCAAAAAAAGAGAGTAGAATAGAGGGGAGTAGGAAAATGCAGAACAGCCTCCCAGATAATAATGTTGAATGGATGAATGATCAGGTTGAAAGTTATCTCCTCCAACTTCATCTAAGGCAAAACGACTTTGCTTTAGACTGAGACCAAGGACAAACTCGTGGTCAGTTAGTAGACACTATTTTAAGTAGTTAATTATTTTTTAAAATTATAGCAAATTGATTTTTGGATACCAGTGTGTAGATTGTTTCTTTTAGATCCTTTACTCATCAGTACAGATTAAATATAAGCATGCATTTTACAAAAGACCTGCAATATTTCATATTAAATAGTGCTTTTCTTTCCAAGATAAACTTATAAGGATGATGGCCTTATTCATCCTTGTACCTATTCAAGTGTTTCTTTATCTGCTAGAACTCAATAAGAATGACAAATTTAATTAGACCATGATACAATTTTATATATTGAAAAATAATGTCTCAACATGTTCTGCTTTCCTGTTTACCCTGGAAATTTACATTGAAGCGATAGGATTTTCCCATGACACTGACTCCTGTAAAGCATTCTTTCTACCAGAGAGATGAAGTTTCTCTGAGAAGCAAGGTGAATATAAAGTAAATAAAAAATTAGTTTCAGTCCTCAATCTGATACTACACATAACTTCTACACAGAAAAGATTATGCTTTTTCCTCATTTGACTTCACATGTGTCCATATGTAGGCCTCTGTTTTCTTACCTAGTTCATGATAATGCTGGGAAGATCCTTAAATGTCAAAAACTCAACCGTACTTTACAGAGAATGACATTATCATATATTTTAAGCACTTTTGCTGATTTTATATGTATTATCCTAGTTAAGCATTCCTATTGAGAAAAGCCCTTAGAAATTTCAAATACGAACAGTACCAATGAAGTTTTGTGATTGTCTACTTGAATGAAATGTTTTGGAAATGCTCTTTAAGTTGAATTATACTTTAATTTATTGAGAAAGAGAGAAGGAAAATAATCACTTTCTAATAGATAGATGTCATCATCTTATCCTCTATAAATAAATACTAGTAAATACCTGAGGAGAAAATAAGACTAATAATGGTGGTAATAATAATCAAAGACACATTGAATGTATATGTCACACTTCACTTTTCCAAGTATTTTCACATCTGCTATCTCACTTGATACTTTTCAATATCCTATGGATAGAGACATTATTATGCCATTTTACAGATGAGATGTAAAGTCCTGAGAGCTTAACCTTTTTTAAGAACACAACAAACACTTTGATCATTCCCAGGAGAACAGTATTTTGATAAAGCCATTATAAACAAAGTGCTATGAACTACCGCAGCAAAATTGCTGAGAAACAGAAGTACCTGTGACCAAATTCATTTGACTAAATTAATTACTTGGCACTATGAACATTTGGTTTTCAGTTATATTTTAAGAATAAAATAAGACAAAAGCTCAAATTGGTTAGAGATTCAATAAAAAAAATATGGGACTAACTCTTGAAAAAATATATAATGCTACAGGACTAGGCTAAACTCAGCATCTAAACTATTATATTTATATA